TATTTTGATTTATAATATAAATTGTTTAGTGAATTTTTTTGTGGAGTGGTGTATAATAGCTAGTGGATTTTAGTTTACTCTCTCTGTTGATGTGTTGCCATAATAAATTTTTGATAAAATCTTTTCAAGGCTATGATTTACTAATATGTGTTTATATATACTGTTCAATCATGCTCCATAGGCTACAAGAAAACCAGTCTTCATATAAAGAGTGAGGATAATATTGATAAATCCAAATCCCGTAACTTGCTCTCTTTTGTTATTTCATAATTGGAGAGTGAACCAATTATGCATTTTTTTTCTTTTAGGTATTTATTTTGAATTTCAAATTCAAATTCAAATTCCAAACGCTAAGAATTTAATTTTAGAAAAATAAAATTCAAATGTTTTTAGCCAAAAAATATTTGAGTGGGCAAATGGTAATTTCGGGTCCAATGAGTCAAAGCCCACTTTCCCCATAACCTCTCCCTCTACAAAACTTGGGTGTCTCTTGGGCTCTCCCCAAAATGCAAACTCAAGGTTTATAAACCCACACCATGTTTGACTACTCAAGCAATGTGGGATAAGCCTTTTCTCTATCCCTTACCGAAATCCCACCAAAATACCATTTCCATGGATCTCATTTTGGTATTGATTTTCCATTTACCCGATAATAGTTTTGAACAACCAAATATACGATGTGAATCATTACGTGGCAAAGAACGTGTTGCCACATAGACCTGCCAAGTTTGATGCATGGGTCCCATTTAAAAAATAGACCAATTTTTTTTAGAAAAAACTATTTTTCTCAAAACCATTTATTGCAGTTTATGCATCTTATATTATAGCAAGTTTTATGTTCTTAACTCATGTACTGGTTGCAGGCAAAGGCTGGGATTGTTAGGTTTGAGTTTAGACTAGCATCTTGTCATGACGAAGGCGCGATTTGGGCTAGTAACAATCGATTGTGTTGTTGGCATTATACTCTTTAAGCAAATAAAGCTACACTTTTACTACTATAATATTGTTTTGGGTTGGTTTTTTTTTTTTTTTTTTTTTTTTTTTGTGTAAAATGGTGATCGGGGTGAGCCCCGACATGAATAAAAGGAAATGAGTTTGGTGTGCAGTTTGTCTTCTTCTTCTGCCTTTTTTTTTTTTTAATAAAATAAATAAAGAAATAAATAAAATAAAAGAAAAGAAAGAAAGTGGAGCAACGGGTGAGGTGCAATAGGTGATGATAATTGTGTGTGAGTGGAGAATAAAGAAAAGAAAAGAAAGGGGTTGTGCGACTTTTTTTTATTTTTTATTTTTTATTTTATTCTGGAAAAGCATGCTGTGTCCCCCACCATCCAAACACTGAGCTAAACTAATGGTTTTATGAGGCATTAGTTTAATATATAGATATATTAAAAGAAAAAAAATGTGGGAAATAACGTGGGTGGTGTAAAATAGAGGAAAAGAAAAAATAAAAAAAGCAAAAGAAGAAAAGTAAAGTGGGGTTGGTGAGTTGGGGGAATAAAAATAATATATATATATATATAAAAAGAAAATAAGAATCTTTATCACACGGATTGTAAATCTAAAAAAAAGTTTTCCATCAGAAAAAGGGAGTGGGCGATATGTGATTCGCCAAGAATGGAATCCTCCAGCTGTTAAGGGCTCGGTGTCGGAGGAGAGAGAATGTTAGCCTTGCTTGTCTCAACAATACACCCATTCATGACCATTTCCTCCAGCATGAAATGTGCTTTCTCTAGATGGAACATGATGTCCAGCTCGCACATATTGCACATATTGCCAGAATGGCGATCCATGGTTTCAACTAAAAGGTGTATGAATTCCAGAATAGAAAGCTCATTTTCTTCATTGTCAACTCCAACCAAGAAGAATAGTGATGCATAGCGCCGGTATACAATCTTGTAGTTCCGATGCTCGACAAAGGAACACTGTTTTTCGGTGCGAGCGAGGCATTTACGAACGATTTCGCCCTCAAGAGCACGTCTTTCGTCAATAGTGAGATACTCGGTATTCATGGCGTCGGAAGTTGTCTCCGGCGAAGAACAAGGGTTTTCGGCCGATATTTGGGTTCTGGGTTGCACTGTAATCGAGATGGCCACCGGGTCTCCGCCGTGGCCGGAGGTGAACGACCCTGTTTCGGCCCTGGACCGGATTGGGTGTTCCGGCGATGTACCAGAGTTTCCGAGATGGTTTTCCGAGCTGGCAAAAGATTTTCTGAGCAAGTGTTTGAAGAGAGGTTGAGGTCCGGCGGACGGCTAAGGTGAGGTTGCCGCCCGCCGGTGAAGCGAAAATATTAGGTTCTAAACCCGCTCTGATACCATGTTAAAACACATGTATTATTGATTTATTGTTGTCTTACAAGATTGTTGTGTATTACAAATATTGAGGTGCTTATTATATAGGAGAGGATTTTGGGAGTAGGTGAAGATGGGAGTGGAGGTGGTAGGTGGAGTGTAGTAGGTAAGGGTGAATTGGTGGTAGGTGTAGGTAAATTCTAACACCATTCATCAGCTCCATGTATCGCGCGAAAACCAGCGATTCAGAGGCAGTTGAAGCCTCGTATGCCACCAAGTTTCTCATCACTACCTCGGAGTTCACGTTTAGAATGATGACAGGGAGGTGAAATTTCTTAGTGTATTTGTTGAATTTAATCGTCGCGAGGCCTCCATTACTGGAACAGAATTCCACCCCAGCGAAACGAAGCATTGATACGGAAGGAATCATGATCTCCTCTACTTTAGGAGTTTTCTTCTCATCACTAGAAGCTTCATCTTCTGGTTTTATGTCTTCTTTCTTTTTGGATGATAAAAAGGATATCCCTGGTACACTACTAACAATCTTTGAAGACACACCCAATATGTTCTGAATAGGCTTTGTGATTTTACTTACAAACCCAACATTTAGATTGGATAACAAGCTCCAAAGCTTATCAAAAACATGACAAGACTTACTTGAATCAAACTTCTCTGCTGCATGAGAGCTCGAAGATTCGAATTTCCCACACGTATTTTTCCCTTGATGTTCTTGAGAATTCTCCAATTTGGGCACAGTCAAGTGGTACAAAAGGTCCAACAAATGTGCATGCTCAGAGACTTGGGACAAAGGGAGGTCCTCCTTGACTAGTTTGAGTGGAGAGAGAGCTTTACAAAAACCCATCAACATCGTAGGCAACAAATTGTCTTCTACATCAGGCAACGAGCATTGGATAGACAAAATCGCCCTTAGAACAAAAATTGGAATCTGGTTTTCAAGCATCATTATGTCACCGAGGATTGACCCATGAGCCAGTTTCCTTCCACTGGAGTCAACCAAGTGAGCTGTTGTTGACGTAGAAGAAATATTTTCCTTCACATGGGTTAAATAATTCTGAAGAAAGTCGAGCAAGAACAAGCCATCAATGGCCATGATCCAAGCTAGTGTATCACACTCAACATCCAAGTACTTATGATAACAAGCTCGGACTTTATGTTCGAACTTGGCGAGCTTTTCGACAAGTTGTTTGAATTCTAGGCTTTTGAACTGTTTTTGAAGCCGACTGGCTGCAGCGAGCTTGTACCTCTCCATTTCATAGAGCTCGGATCGAAAATGGTGGTATGGACCTAAGCCCATGAGCTGAGGGGTGTAAGCTTCTGGCTTGAATGCACTGATGGTGGTTGGGACACGAAAGATTGAAACTGGGAGGTCGATCTCGACCATGACCTCGTCGTTTTGGAGGATTTTGCTGACTTGGCTGATCCATCTTTGCTCACCTTCGGATGATTCGAAGATTGAAGCTAAGGCCATGTTTATGAGGCTAGTTTGTGAGGATTACTTGTTATCACGCCTTCCTTTGTTTATATGTAGTGTGAGGCCAATTAATGCAGCACTTGTGGTAGGTTTTTAGTAAGGACATACAAATTAATAAATCTTATAATTTTACTTGTTAAAAGATATGTCATCACTATATTAGTGGGATGGACTTTATTTTTCATAAAAAAAATTTATGATACTAAAAAAAACAGGATTCACAACTTGACACAGATTCCTAATCTATGGTGTATATTTTATCTTTTTTTTTATTGTGGGGTCAATTCATAAATAAATCTAGATCTTTGATTCAAAATTCTGACGGTCTTTTCATTTTTCATATATTGATAATTTGACACTTATTATAAAAATAGATTTTTTTTTTTCCTATTCATATAACTAATCAGTTACTGATAAAAAAAAAAATCTAATTATTATGTGAATTAAAATTTTAAAAAATAATATAATTATATTAAAAGTATAAGATAAATTACATATTTTTTTAAATTAAAAAAAATTAGTGTTATTTAGGGTTGGTTTGGGGTGTCCTAAAAAAGTGTACTTTTTATCTTTTTACGAAAAGATGTACAGAAAAGTAGAGAGGTGATATGATGAAAAAAAGATAAAAAGATAAAAAGATGGATTATATAGGTTATGCCAAACCAGGCCTTACTTTATAATAATATAAGTTGGTCTCATTCGAATAATTAATAAATTACCTATGACTGTTACATTACTTATCATTTCCTCTTCCACCAACGCGCGCGCGCGCGCACACGCACACGCGCACACACACACAAATATCATTCTTCAGAGTCTTATCGCCCAGCCAATAAATGAGAACACATTATTGAAGAGATAAAAAAGTTGAAAAGTTTAATGAAAGCCCCGCAAACCACCCAACCAAAAAAAAAAAAAAAAAAAAAAAAAAAAAAAAATCATGGACCACAAAAAATTATTTTGAAAATTATTCCGAAAATGGGTGAACGATGTAGATTTAAAACTTTGTTTCTATTAATATTTCATTAATTATTTTGAATCTTTTATTTTTTTGAACTCTTATTTATAAATTTTAAAACTCTTAATTTTTTTTTCTTTTGAATCTTTTATTTTTTTGAACTCTTATTTATAAATTTTAAAACTCTTAATTTTTTTTTCTTTCCAAATAATATCAAAATTATTCGTATGATAACATTTCACACATTTAATTAAATGCACACCTCTACACCCCACACCCCAAAAAGCCACTCTCCTCAAAACCCTAATAAAATCTATAAAAGTGATTACTATTTCATCTGCACATTCTTGTTTATGACCTAAGAAAAGAAATGTACGGTTTCTTGTTATTGTCAAAATTCTCCTTTTGTAGATTCTACGATATTCACGAGTTTCAGTTATTTGTTTTCGAACAAATAAAAAATGTTCAGTTATTTGTTCTCGAACAAATGAACAATGTTCTGGCATGTGTTCCTGAATTTCGATCGTATGCTCGGGGAGTTCAGTCCCAAAAAAAAATGACGAACAATTTTTATTATTCTTGTCATTTTTTCAAGAAACTTACCTTTACAATGTCAATCTCATTTGAGTTAAGAATACCACCAAAACTATAAATCTCCTTTGAACTTTTATTATTGTACTTCTCTCGTCTTATGCAATTGTGATTACCGAAAAAACTTTCACTCATTGTTTTTGCCAGAGAAGTGTATGTAATCAAATGGTTGTCACCATTACCGTTGAAATATTGCTGCCAAAGAGTTTTTAAGGTTTTGAAGGTGGGTAGGTTTTGAATGTGAGATTTGGAGAAGATGAATTGTTGAGTGGGTCCCACACGTCTTCTGGGGTGGGTCCAAATATGTGACGTGTTCCTTGCCGCATGATAAGTTATACGGTAAAGACGGTTCGTCAAAACTATTTATGAGTGAATAGGAAGTTGACGTCGTTTTCGGATTTGTGAAATGGATAATTAAAGAATTAAATATGAGTTTCCTTGTAAGGCTTGTCCCACATTGAAAACTTAAGAGAACTTATGCGTGTATATAAGTTCTAGGTGGCAACACTTGGGTTGGGCCTCAAAGGGCACCCCAAGTTTGTAGAAGAGAGGAGTTATGGACAAAGTAAACCTTAGCCCAAACCACCACATGCGCGCACCGCCGCTGCCGCCTCCGTCCGGCCAAGCCGTGCCGGGTATGGGTTGTGGGTCGAGGGTCGGGTCGTTTCTTATATTAATTTTTTTGACAAAATTTATTTGAATTTTTTCTAAAATTCTTGCGGGAAAAATTAATTTAAATTTTGCGCCAATATAATTTGAATTTGAATTCAAAACTTTTGTTCAAAATTTGTGCTCTTTTCAAATCCGAATCCCATAACAAATTAATCAGTCCAAACAGTTTTTCAATCTGTTAAACTCCGGATAGGTTCAAACTGGTTTTACAGTTGTAAAAATGCCCAGACAGATTCAAATCTATCTAGCAGTTACCAACAGATCTGAAAACTGTTTATACCTGTTTAGTTTGAAATTGAATCTGTTCGGATCTTCCCAACCATCACCAATGGTCCTATAAATAGTAGAACTCATTCCAGCAATTTTTTACATCCGAAAACATCTTGATAAATATCCAAAAATATTCTTTCCTTCTCGGTTTTGCTCTGTGGTTGCTTTATTCTTCATATTATTTTTTAGAAAAAAATTTAGAGAGTATAGAACATAGGTTTTGTTCGCAGTACAAGTTGTTTAGAGTGCTACTACAATTTGTGAAGATCATTGTATCTTGGGAGATAGGCGCATTTTATCCGTAAGCACCGTAGTGGGGCAAATCTGTCATAAGGACAGAGTGTCACACAATCGACTTAATCTTTTAAATATTTATTCGGTTCGGTAAAATAAATTCTGTAAGTAATTTATTTATTTTTGTTTGATTTGTATCAAGTTATTTTATTTTACACAGAAAATTGTTCCAACAATCTTAAGACAGATTCAAATTATTCTGTTTATATAGAATTTTTCGTTTGTTTCCTTTTTTCTTTCTTCTTTTTACAAAAAATATTTTCTGTGGTTTTACAAAGAAATATTCTGGTTGGAAAAACAAATAGTAGTAATATATTGTTTGACAGATAGTAGTAATATACTGTCTATTGTTTTTGACAACTAGTAGTAATATACTGGTATAATTAACAATTTAGAATATTTATTTGTGAAGTTTCTCAGAAATTAATTTTGGTTTTCAAAAATAATTTCTAAGTGTTCATTAATTAAAATTTTGTTTCAATATTTTAATTATTGAAGTGTTACAGAAATTTAATTTTCTGTGTGGAATTAATTTGTTTAAATAAAATTTTATTTTATTTTCAAAATTAATTGGAAATAAAAGTTACAATTCTTATTTATTTTATTTCACAGAATTTAAAATTCTGTGTTTATGGTTTAATTTTCTGTGTAGTATAAATTCTAATTCATGGCTACTGAAACTAGTCAAACTAATGCTCAAACAAGTACTAGTATGGTGGCTGCAATTACGCCAACCCCTCTTCCTGTTGTGACTGTGCCAGTCAATCACGGTGAGAAGCTAGAGAAGTTCTCAGGAACTGATTTAAAAGATGGCAGCAGAAAATGCTGTTCTATCTTACTACTCTTAACCTGACTTGTTTTCTTCGTGAGGATGCTCTTACTTTGAAAGATGATGAAACTGACCGACAAGTGGTTGTTGCGATCGATGCTTGGAAAGATGCTGATTTCCTTTGCTGGAACTACATCTTGAACGGACTTAACAACACATTAGACAATGTTTACAGTCCTATCAAAATGGCAAAGGAACTCTGGGAGTCTCTGGAGAAAAAGTACAAAATAGAAAATGCTGGTTCAAAAAAATTTATGGTTGGTAAATTCCTGAATTTTGTGATGGTTGATTCAAAGACTGTGATTAGCCAAGTTCAAGATCTTCAGCTCATTCTGCATGACATTCATGCAGAAGGCATGTCTCTCAGTGAATCCTTCCAAGTTGCTGCCTTAATTGAAAAATTACCACAAGCTTGGAAGGAATTTAAGAACTACCTCAAACACAAGTGCAAAGAAATGTCTTTGGAAGAATTGATTGTGTGTTTGAGGATTGAGGAAGACGACTGCAATTCTGAAAAGCGGGCTGATAAGCATTAATGGAGCCTAAGGAAAATGTCGTGGAACATGCTCTAAAAGCAAAGAAACGAAAGTTTTATAGAGAAAGTTCCTCATAAGGCTTTAAAGGAGGAGAAACTAAAAAGTATAAGTTTAATGGCAAGTGTTACATCTGTGACAAAAAGAGACATCGGGCCAAAGATTGCTGTAGCAAAGGCAAAAGAAAAAGAAAAACAAACAAGAAGCCTGTTCAAGCCAATATAACCGAAGTGGATAAAATTTCCAATGGTGTAGATGACATAAATCTTTGTGCAGTTGTTTCCAAGGATAACCTTGTTGGAAATCCTAAAGAATGGTGGGTGGACACTGGTGTTAGTCTCATCCGTGCCAATAAAAAGATGTTCACATCTTATTCTATAGTAGACAACGGTAAACAACTTTTTATAGGCAACTCCTCAACTTCCAAACTTGAAGGACAACGAAAGATTATTCTGAAGATGACATCTGGAAATGAATTCACTCTCAATAATGTGCTGCATGTACCGGACATTCGCAAGGATCTTGTTTTCGGATCTTTGTTGAGTAAAAATAGGTCTAGGTTAGTTTTTGAAAGTGACAAGTTTGTACTTACCAAAAATGGGATGTATGTAGGAAAATGTTACATGTGTGATGGCCTTTTCAAAATGAATGTAATGACTGTTGTACCTTATGTTATTAATAATAATACATCTTCTTCTTATTTGCTTGAATCTACAAATTTACGGCATGGTAGGCTTGGACATGTTAATTATGGATCTTTGCGTAGATTAATTAATATGGAATGTGTACCTAAATTTGACATCGATTTAAATCATAAATGTGAAATTTGTGTTGTGACAAAATTATCCAAATCTTCTTTTCATACAATTGAAAGAAGTACAGAACCATTTGAATTAATTCATAGCGACATTTTTTATTGTAAATCAATTCAAACTAGAGGTGAGAAAATATTTTATCACTTTCATAGATGACTATACTAGATATAATTATGTTTATTTAATTCGAACCAATGATGAAACTTT